CTTGCATCGGCCCCACACCGACATCGCCTACTATTTCCACTAGGACCACGATCAGCGTTTTGGAAGTCGGAGAGTGTCGCCTCACCACTCAAGTTAGAAACTGTGAGCACTGGTGTCTGCATGTTATTTCGAACCGCATTCTCACGACAGCAAAGAGCAACCACACTCCCTCGATGAATCCATGGATATACTTTGCCCATCCTTGGCCGATCCTGATTCTCAAACAAGCCCAAATGGCTCACCCAGGATGTTCACGTCGGGGCTGTCCACGGACTCAATGCGAAGTCGCGATGACGGAGCCGTGACTATCATGCCCAGTCTGGTGCATTGCTTGTAGTTCAAATTTTACCTACTATTTCTCATCCGAGTGTGTTAAATGCTCTAAAAAGTCCGTCTCACTTTGCTGAATTTGTGTTAGAATTCCGTGATGGTGGCTAGCTCATCATACTGTTCGCCTGTAATACCCATAAACCAACTAATTACTCTCTCGGCACAATCAAACAATCAGATACCGATGAAGGCAAAATCTTGTCCTGCGCCCAATACAGCGCACTGACTATCATAAGAAGATCCATCAATCTCATTAGTTACTAAGAGTTCCGTAGGACTGTGTGATGAACATGACTGATACTCTATTAGTTGCTCTATTCATTATTCTCTTGTTTAAATATCCCATATGCTGCACATATTCGCCAATTTGAATACATACGTGCTGGTTGTTACGCTTCGCTGAATACTGGATTTCTAGTTTGTCGGGTTGTACCGATATACGTACGAAACTAAATTCTCACAGATGTTTGGCTGGATGCAGGCTTCAAAGACAAGAAAAAAATTTCCTATATAGGTCGCAAGGTTGAAGGACAAAATCAACGTGAAAATGTTTCGTGCACCTTCTCCAGATCCAATAATGGAGTAAACACGTGAGGCAACCAAATTTCCCACAAAATCTCGCACCGTTTCAACGTACCTATCATGCTGAGTCACAGCAGCTATTGAAAATACGAATTCCGCGCCCAAGAAAGACACCGAGCTTGCTTAAACAATTTTTGCTAATAGTTCGATTGGGAAAATTTTATGGCTCCGAATAAATTCCATCAAATTTTACAACAAGGTGAAAGTTTACCCGTTTCATCCCGCGGTTACATAGATATTCAGGCTGCGCGAATGGGGATCGACATGCTCCAACAAGTTGTGGATTCAATTTCACACATGTTTGTTCAAAGGTTGCGAAGATTTAGTACACCATAATATTTGGAAAAACTTTAAATGAATATTTAAAGAATGAGTAGGCGGTATTCGTGCGCGTATTTTGTAAAACCTGCAACAAAGCTGTGTTGATTTCTGAGTGATTGTACTACAAATGCACAGGTTGACCCCGGGAACCAAGAAAAATTCGAATAATTAGAAGAATTTTGTAAGTTCAGCACATTTTCTAACAACAAACAGTACGCAAAGCACCGGCAGCCCAGTCCGATATTTTCTAAGCAGGCACGAGAACCATCTACAGACCACTTGTACTACGTTTAAAACGGTCGTAAGGTGACCACAATTGTACAGGGCCAAATGTCTGTAACAAGACTACTAACCAAAGATGGTTTGGGCACCTGCAGAGCCATGTTGAAATACGGAACATATTTCGTGTGAAGTCGGGCAATTAGCAGCTGATCGATTCTTCATGGTCCTTAAAACTCAGGATACTTAAAACTACTTCCTGAAGCGAAAGCGACGGACAGTTGAGAAAATGTATACGTTGACATTCGGCAGACCATGTTTAGAACGTGGTCGCCACTCTCCGAACTCCTCTTCCGTACGACATATATATATCTGTACATATATCGCATTCACATAGTGGCCATTCAGTGTGCCGTGACGTCTTCTGTTCGGGGTGCTCGAGACTGCCTGAGTGAAGTATCCACTTTTTCAGGCGGTCATTGGCGGTGCTAAGTGCCCGAATCGGTCCGATTTTTATGAACCTCAGAGTGTGTTCTATCTGGAAATAACAAGTATATATTTTCTTCTCGAACGTTAAGAATGTTGCTATTTTCGTCTCGTTCATCCACGCTTCTCTTAATAGTCGCTGTGGGAGCACTAGAAACCGGTGTTCAAGGCGGATCTGTGAAAGTGTTCCCCCAGATGTTATTCTTGTATTGCAAATATTGTGCAACATAATAGCTACCAGATGGGGCAGAACTGTTCCTGGAGTGGTCGGTTTGCAGGAATAGAAATGCGTTTGGAACAAAGATAAATCTCCAAGCCTTACATATTCAACCCCTCTGTTTTCTCCAGTACAACCTCCTCTCTCCTCCACTTGAGAACCCACTGACAGTGCCGGATTTATGCAGCAATTTATCATCTCCCGCCTGCAATGCGCAACTATCCACACACCCCACAAATCATTGGTGAACGAAACTGCGGCAGCTACAACCAATGTACGACGAGTACGCTGTTATCACAGCTGACAATTATGATGATGATGGTGATGATGTACAGACCACAGCATATGGGATAATAGTTAGTTTCATGCTTCAACATTCCGTCAAATTTAGGGTTGTGACTCTTGTGCTTATTTAGCGAAATATCTCCCGGAGATATTTTTGGTCAGTCTGCCGCACAATGATCATGTTTTTTATTGCTCGGGCCTCAGTATGGTAATAACGGCCGAAAATTTCATCTAAGGATATTTAGTTAAGTCTCCTTGGTCAGAAGAAGTGAAACTCGTGAGGAGTCCATTATATCGCAGTGGTGTTTCAACCCTCCTGATTATCAATCAAAGGTAAGTGACAAACTATGATATCTGTGGGATCAACGACTATCAGTCGGTATCCGGCGAACAGAAGTGATTTCTAAGAAATTATGAGTTTTCAAGGTTACCACTTCATCGTCAAAAATGTCTAGGTCCAATAGAATGCTTCGTACAGGTGTTTTGTTTAGGTGAACGACTGGAAACAGAGCTTATTGAAATATAATACCACCGATCCTTATCCGGCAGCCGTAACAGGCGGTAAGTGAATGCATCATGCCAAGTGCGTATACATACGTAAAAGCAATCCAGCATCAGCCTGTTCGTCATTATTCCTAGAAAATTTCCCCTAATGCGATTGCCTCAAACACATTGGTGATGGTATGCAGACATATCAGGTTCCATATGAAATTCTCCAACGTACCCGTAGCTCTCGACAGAAAAGTGTATCCAGGTTTGTTTTCGCTTGTGTTCCGAGGAACTGCATCATGATGAACGTCTTGTGATCTAGGCATCACCGGTACCATTCCCAAAAATGAAGTTAGGGCATCACTTTGACTTTACTGAGAATGGTAGCAGCTTAGGTAGCATAAATGGTCGCTATGACTTCCATTAGACCCTCACAGAGCATTCAATTGCGTACTAAACTGGCGGGATACTCAAGTAAGACCGGCTCGAACTAGGTGCCAAAGGTAATATTTCAAAGTCAGCTTCATCAATAATCACTAACAATAATGGCTGCACCTTCCACTTATGCAACTTAGGAGAAATTTCCTTCGTAGACACTTTCACTCATCCAATACCTATTTACAGTGCATTGTTGATGCATTCTGTTGTCTCAGCTACAAACTGTTTCGCCAGTGTATTTCTAACCTTCTTGATGGGGGTAGGCATGCAATTCTCTCCAGCGTCAACAGACAAAGTATTCTTGGTGATGAATTCACGGAATAAAAAGTACGGATTACACCTTGCTCGTTTGAAATATCATTTTTCAGAAATTTTCTTCGTAGAAAAAAAAACAGAACAGCCGGAAATTTGATGAAATGTCTACGGGACCTGCAAGATGAGTTTCATTTCCCTATTGGACAACTTCCAACCCTCAGCCTGCGGGGAGAATTTCGATTCCAAGCCAAACTCACAGTCTGCACTTGAAGACAGATTCAGGCGGAGGCAGTCCAGTCTGGAAAACAGAGGGCGTTTGTACAGCCGATTCATCTTTGTTGGAAACTATCAGCGGTGAGCAACTAGCAAATTTCTAGTGAGAATGAAATGGATTTAGCTGTACGTCAGAGCTGTTTGATTGATGTTATGTAGCGCGAACATCCTCTCCTCAGGCCTCACGGGTTTCCTGTCCGAATGTCGCCAGTCGAGGGCCCACCAGACATCAGATCTTTTGACTCAAACTGTCTGACTGGAAGCATGTGTTGAAAACAACTTATTTCGTCCAAAATGAGCTATTTGTTCATCCCGGAAATGCAGTACTGATCTGGATTTCTAGGGGGATTGTTATTCAGCCACATTAGACGAACGATTTAGAACTATCTCTGTCTTTGCGGTCCTTATGTCTAATATTTCAGATAGATGAATCGTATCCATCAGGTTGCACAATCACTCTGTCTGGTCCCGGGACGCCCCTCACTGCGCTGCTTCTCTAAAGACGAATTACTACTCAGGTAAAATCAACTCACAACGGTAAAATGGACCTGTATTTTCACCAATTAGACAACATAGTGAAGAACCGTTTTTCGGAATAGCACTCAAACGACGAACGGTCTATTTTCGTGCTTTCAACACACCATTGGGAAATACCACATACAATATCGCACAGTCACGTGTTCTACTTTCTAGCCCAACAGAAATTGATGAAAGTCAAAGAAAATTTGATTGATTGATGTTTCATTCTTCATTGTCAATGGTGCGCATCTCACGAAACTCCACGAAACACGAATCCGCGACCTTTCGGCCATTAGTCTGAACATAACACCGTCCAGTCACGAGAGGTCAATCAACATTGTGATTACCTTGCGCCCAAACAAGATAACTTGGTATTCTGGTTCCAGTCGGAAAATACACGCTAGATGGTTGGTCCTTTCGAAATTGTAGTAATGTGCGTCGTCTCCCAAATAACCGAATAATCTGGTGACTTTCAGAAGCCTCTTCACCCTCTCAGGGGTAATTAGAGAATGTGCAATCCTTTAACTTACGACCGTTTTTCGTGACTGGAAACAAGTGGAGAACAGGATTGGAATGGTGAAAAGTTTTAGGACAACAAACCAGTAGGCAACATAGTTTGGTCGAATGAAAAGTCAAATAACTCCCTTATGCGTCCACTTAAAGCATGGTCTGTACTGGAACTACTTACGACATGCATGACCATACCAGATCTTTCCGTTTCACGTCTAACCGAAGAGCGCAGGCCCCAATCAGTTTGCGGCAGGATAAAGTAGTTCAGTTTGTAATCTCTGTCGTCCAACTTCCTCAATTTGGCTTTTGTTTGAAAGCAAAAATCACAACTCAATAGTCGCAACTGGGTGAGCAGTTCAAGGTTACGTTATCCTTCGCCTACTGGAAGAGATTTCACAGAAGGGACGTGGTGATATTAATTTAGCGCTATAAAAACGTGCCCTGATCAACTGGTAACGGTCAGTTCGGTCTATTCAGCAGTGCTTTTGCCGAAAGAATGGGGCCGAATTACACACCCAAGCGACGAAGAAAATGGGACAGATATGCATCCATCTATTTAGGTCACATCCTGTGTCACACGTAAAATGGGATGGGATATAATAGAATAAGTTACAGTCAGAGAAATTTTGTGCTCTGACACGTTGTGCATGAGAGTTGTGGTGAAAACCTGGTGCATGAGTTCCGGATTCGGTCACTCATCTTTTTACTAATGTTTAAACTCTTCATCAATAGGTCGCATCACGTTTTCACCGCTGTACCTACTTATAAGTAGTCATGCATTGGATAAAAATGGTGATTTGATGTTCTCCCACCTACAGTCTCCAAACTTCCCCACATTGTGGACGGCAGAAAATAACTGATGTTTCACATTGTCATAATAACAAGAGTTAAGGCACACACGTAATGATGAAACATAAGAATGCCGCTATTTTCGCGTGGAAGTACCATTCGAAAAATGCGGTGACTGGTGCACTGGAATGCCGTGGACTTGCGACAGGAATTGGCATGTACCTGAAAAAGTCAACATTTGCCTTGTTCATCAACCAAAAGGCGGTCACGAATTTCGCCTAATATGCACTCCGATTCCCACGGTCCTCCACACCTAGCAGGCAAGTCCAATTAAAACACAGCTCGTTTCATTTGCGTTTAGTTGTGATCCAGTTGTCTTCCATCCACACTATTGATATGCTCCTATTTGTAAAGCATGTTACTGAACAGGTAAACCTTGCAGAGTAAATCATACCGTAGTTGTTGAAGCTCCTGTGATGCATCTCACTATCTCGAGAAGCTCTCTGTTGGTAAACTGCAAACCAAACCTCCCTTCTGGCTTCTAAATAAGGCTTCAACAACAGACATGACCGCGTCTGCCTCTTGGAACTGCAGAGGTGACAAAACACATCCACCGAAACACAAGTGGATGCTTCTGTATTTGAGCAGTCGTTGACAGCCAACGATGCTGAAGATCAAATGAAGCTCCCTTTCATCTCTTTTTTTAAACAACTATGCTGAACTGATCATCATCATCATTGTCAGCCGTAATAACCGCGTACTTGTTGTGCAGTGGTTGTAGGTGCCACAGTTTCGTTCACCGATGATTCGGGGAGGTGAGGGTAGTTAGCAGCCAACTGGGGGCCGGAGCTGAGGAATTAGTGCGTAAATACAGCACTGCATGTGCTGTACCAATATGCCGTGCTTATTTCCATCGGGCTGGGATTCCAGATAGTGACGTATTTATCCTTCACGCGGAATTACTAATTATAGTATCCGACGGTCGAAGTGTTTTCCTGCATCATATGGGCAAAAAATCCTAAAATAGGAGGGCGCGATTTAGTTTGAGGAACTGTGGTTACCGCTAAAGAACAAGCGTTATTTCCTTTGGCGCGACGATGTCGGTTTCTGCAACTTGCGTATTCTCGTCGCGTGTTCAGTGTCAGTTTTAGTAGCTGTGAGCATGAGTACTCAACTAAAAATAGCGAGAACAACGGTCTGACCGAGTGAGGAGTGAGTAAATATGACAATCATGCGATAAACACAGTGTTTCTTCGAAAGAAAGTAGTCACAAGTTTGCTGAAACGTCCTAGACGGCCCACAACCGGTTTTGTCCTTCTTAAAACCCATTAGGTAAGTGCGGGTTTCCTAGTTCCCTCCTGAAATTGTACGAAGTTCGCGAAATACACTTATTTGCGCACCAGTTTGGTTTTAGCGGTCCCAACTGAATCTTACGTCCACAACATTCAGTGTTTCTCAGACCCAATCTCCAGCGTGTTCAAGATTTCACTATCTCGTTTTGGTATAAACGTTAGGAGAGTTTGAATTGGGATCTTGGCCTAAGGCTGAATAAGCATCTCTATTAGTGATTGGAATGTAGAACATCCAAACTCCTGCGCTGATGGAGTGGTCAGCTTGTGATCTACTGAGGCCAATAACGGACACAAAGGGTATACTGTGTTATAAATGGCACGGGCGGTCGCTCAGACTCCACAGACAGCTCACTACCGTCTCCTGCAAGCTGTTGCTGCTCACCAGATCAACGCTGTCTTCGAAAACTTGGGAAAACAATCTGAAACAATCTGAAAACAATCTGAACAGCAGTTTCGTTTACTCTTCGGCTCCTATGCACCATGGAACTGCCAGAACTGGAGGCACGATGGAATCCCTCATGGGTAACTCCTTTTTTTCTTATATTTATGTACGAAACAAGTCATTAGAATGGAGACCGCAATCCAGAAGAAAGCTAATGTAACCCGGCTGGTCAACACATTTCCTGTATAGTTCATGGTCTCGAATACACACAGTTTGGAATTTCATTCCCCTAAATAGTTGTTCCTTCTTATAGAAAACTTTCAACAAAAGGAACGTTTTTTTTAGAATTTAGTGGTTCTTAACCGAAATCTTTATGATTGAAGGAAGATTCAGCAAGAGTTCTAGAACAGTGCATCAGTTATGATGTAGTGTGCTTCTTCAGTATAGGAATATCTGCAACAAATCGGCACTTATGCACATGACTCCGTTTTACGCGAACTGTTTGGACGTGTTCAAAGTGAGGCTAGGCACAGTCATTATCACGTGACCTAATGGTTCGGACGCAGGGTCAGGGGCGCTATCCAATCACGTGTTTGAACATACACATGACTTTAGGGAACCAATATCTCTCTCGAAAAACATAATAAGTTTGCAAATGCGTGTTTATTCGCTAATTTAATGTAATTTGGTTTCAAGTAGAACATAAGGTTGACGGGAACCCGGGGACTGCGCCTACCTGATGAGCCCCAAAAAGGGCGAAATTGGTCGTGGCTGTCGACGGATTTTCAACAACCTTATGAGTAGTACATTACAAAGGAACCAATATCTGTTTGAATAACGCTTCGATATGGCTCAATGGTTCCTCAAAAACGGTCGCTAATCGTGATCAAAGTGTCAAAAGATATACCCACTGTACAACTCATTAGCTACTAGAGCATCAGACTATCATCTTTTTACTGTGCTTAGTTCTGAATCCAAATACTGATAATTTAAGAGGTCGCCACCGGTTGTGGGCTGTCAAAGATTTTTGAGCAACCTTATGAGTATTTTCCTTTATGGAAAGTACAAGAACACACTGAAAAGAACGACCTTGTTTGAAGTGAACTCCTGTTCTGTTCTTCAACGACTGTGCGAGAAATGTATCAGGGCGGTTATCATAAATACTCGAAATGACCTATCCTCACGAGTTAGCAGGTATTTGGATGACAAAACAGGGATAATCTAAGTCCTGAAAAGCAACCCACGACGCGCCTCGTCAAAAGTGAAACCGATTACGTGGAGATGGCAGGATTTATGAATGCCACCTTGAATAACCTTCAACTGAAATGAAATTTTATTTCTTTTTGTGCAGTAAAACTCAGTTCATTTTACAAAACATCGTCTTCAAATAAACGAGCCTATTAAAACCGGGTCCTAATAATTGTTTATTCGTATTCAAACTTGAAAAATCGCAATCGATATTCCCTATCCCAATGTCGCCGCGACTCGGGTCAAGAGGTTGACGTTGTAAACGATGTTGGCAAAAAACAGTGGACCATTAGTGAATGAACTTCATACCAATTGACATAGGGTACATGCCAGACCATGCTGCGGCTAACAGTAGTAAAACTGGAGTATGGAATGAAACATGCGAACGTTCAATGGTTGCCAAGTTTCAAACACACGATGAAATTACAGTTTACAAAGTCTCGATTAACTGGTTCTCGTGGCCCAACATGTGCTTTCGGTTGTAATGACTGAAACGACAGAGACTGACGGTCTCTGTGCTGTTAACGGTCAAACGGAAACAGTCACTTCAGACAAGATAAAATATTTCTCTGCGCATCTCGAGAAAGCTGTTTAAAGCATACAAAGGTAACAAAATATTCAGTCCGACGGCGCGTAGCATGGCTCTCATCATCCATGACTGCGCAACCATCGTCGAGGAGAAATCTTCCCACCTCCGGAAGGTTTTCCTCCCAAGTGCTGTAATCATTATAGCGAAATGCGGCGAGTCAGCACACGCCTAGATATAGTCCTGATTCAGTATTCGCTGGTAGCGGGAAAAGTGGTAGCAATGAATCTCGCATTAGGGATGCGATCTGGGCGGTTGTCGGCAATGAGAGGCCTTCCAAACATTTCTAACAGTAAAACGCATTTTTACGCATTGTTACACGGAACGAAACTGTCATTTGCGCCTTAAATGTGGATGATCCTTGCATATTCATTAGGCTAACCATGTACTGTTGCTTGCAGTAAGGTATTCTTTCTACATGGATTAAGGGGAACTGATCAATGCGCAGCTACCTACCGCACCTCCACAAATCACCGGTGAACGAAACTGTATCAGCTGCAACCACTGTACAAGTAGGACGTGGTTAATTCAGCTGACAATGATGATAGTGGATGGGGGCCATTTGCTAATACATAAATTTAATTCAACGGAAGCTGGTGTGTAGACTCCGCTCTCTAGTACGCAAGTTTCCATGCTTCGATGGATAGCTATCCAATTAGGTAGCAAGCAATAAGCGTCCAGCATCGGTAGAAAGATTATGTTTAAGATAATGCGCGATAGCTACCATGCTCCTCTGAAAGCATTCGGTTTTCAGTGCAATATCGCAGGCGTTGTAAAGATGTTGAAGAAACACGACCTGGTACGATGGTGATCTCCATGGTTCCATGAGCGCTGTCAAAGTGCTTGGCGCAAACGCGTGCCCAAGGAATCTTAGGAGCCAAAACAAAACAGATGAGGAGCAGGTTGCGATTACGGCTTCACTTCTCTCCATCACCCGGGGATTGTCTTGCTAAAAAGGACGTTTGCACACATTGTCAAACTCAGCTATTGCTACTAGATCGTCAGTGTCACGGAGAAACACGGTCTCGACGGTGTCCTCAAACTGTGGAAATCATCAAACATCCTCAGGAGGTGGAGTGACCCTCGTTTACCACGAAAAAACTAGTAGCACTAGAGTATAGTATAAAACGTGCAAGTAGTAGAAGCAAGGATGTGTTATCCTGGACACTCATGATCCAATCTTTGATATTTTCTTCTTTTGGTCAGTTGATCACTGTAATCAGCAGATATCCTTTTCACATATTGGAAATGGAGAATCATTACACCTGACATAGTGACCGTTACCTGTCAAGCTTAAACAACCAGGTAGCAATCCTGGCTGGTAATGTGACGACCAACAGCCACTTTCTGAAAGGCCTGGGGTAAAAATGAATTCAACCTCCAAGGCGCTTTTTCATATTTTAGACGTCAAGTCAACCTGGTACATTCTTGACTAAACCCTGACAGAAACAAGAGTAAAGCGTCTGGAAGCATATAATGAGGTGAACAGTTTCTAAAATCCACCAATATATCCTACCCGTGTAACGGTGATACTACTGATGGGGAAGCACGCGAGTAGTATGTGCTGTTCGTAGAAATTCGCTCCGCGTCTATCCAAAAAAGGAGGTATGTTGCTTTCCTGTCCAACGGTCTGTAACCGGTCAGTCGGCATTTTCTAATTAAATAACTCGGCAATGAAGGCCTTCTTCCTTTCACCCGTATTTTTTATACAATGTGACACTGAAGGTGGTGATTAAACAATGAAAATACGATATGGCAGCGCAGTACTGTATGACGAGCGAAGTGATCACATTGATTTGTACTACACAGAGAAACAGACTACCCGGAGCTCTTCGGAAGTCACCTGCCCATCCAGCTGCTCGGCAAACCCGCGACTTCGTGTACAACGCCACGTGTTAAGTGAACTACACTCATTCGCAAACTGAACTGGTGCTAACAGCAGACCCCCTGGTTTTCCCAATGATGGTATCCTTCAACTGAGTGTTGTACAAAACATCAACATGTTTCCGGCTGTATGGCATTCGAGGTATCGCAGTATATTTTCTTGTCAGAACAGGTCTATGGAAACTCGGAAACTGTGCCGACCCAGTGAGCCACAACAAGGACGAATCTGGTCGTGAGCTGTGAAATTTTCGTTAAACTATCACAGAGACACTACGTGTTCTTGTGTGCCGCACGTACATTCAAATAAATTTTACTCCACTTTAAATACTAGTTTATACAAGTCGACTTATTTCAATGGGGAAATTAAATTTGCAAAACCGAACACAACAGATGTTTAAACGAAAATGCCTCGGTATTGGAAGTTGGATATGAATGCCGACAATAAAATTGGATTAAATGCCATCGACGGGGGCACTACTAAATGGAGGGTTGCGCACCGGTTTCATGAACCTAGCTGAATGACGTTTGGTAAGTCACTCGCTTACATAAAGTTGTTGCAAAAATGCCAATTTGTTCATTGCCAGACTATTGAAAGAAGGGGCGTAACATTGAAACTTCGACCTAGATGCAGCTGTCAAGCTGGCCTAGGTTGCATAGATTGCATACAGATGGCGATATTATTTCCGAGATTCCCGGAAGACCACGGTTTTCGAATCACCTTATCAACACCTCCCCCAATAACGTAGTCAACGGCGTTCCATTTGTTAGGAGCTCGAAAAATTCAAGTGCACCGAGGTAGTCCATTTCCTGTATGGGATCACAGGGGAATGGGTTGGAACGAAGGCGTACTTTCGTACAAACGGAACGGCAATCATCTGAGTTCAGACCTTAGTTCGTTGTAACGGCGACCTCATCATCATCATCCCCATCGACAATATGACATCAGTGTTCGAAATTGATGCTCACTGCCGTATAACCATGGTTTACTTGAAAGTCTCATTGTGAAGAAAAGAATGGTGGACGAGAAAGGGGCTTAGTTCTAGCTTACCACAATCATTCCGAGATACTTGCACCTCCGGACATTCATTCAAATAATCTGAATAGAAACGCCATTGACAGCGGTTGGTAGCCATAACTTTCGGCGTCTCCAAAAGGGCACAGTGCGGATCACGCGGTCTCCGCCCTGGAAGGCGAGTAGCACCGGCAGTACCCAAACGCTTCGTAATCTCCTTCATACCCTGTAACATGAGGGGGTACCAGCAAATCGGATGCATTAACGATCATGCTGCACAAACAACAACTGTCCACCTGTAGCACGTTTTCGGTGCCTCTATGAAGGAAATACGAGGGTTGAGATACTGTCAGGACGCAAAAGCCCCAACGGGAGCAGTAGAGATGCCGAAAATGGTTTCATTCCGTATATTTGCGCCTCGATCTTGGGCAAATGCACAGAACTGAATATTCGCAAAAGCTTTCTCTTGTTGGGAACCTCCACAAGCAAGTAGAACAACTGAACCAGGTTGATTCGTAAAAATTCACTCTGATGTACTGTGTAGAAGCATGGGTTACGGGCCCTGTGATGATTTTGTCCATTCAGCGACGCAGAATGAGGTTGATTCAAAATCAATCAGGATGGGCTAGCGTACATAAAAACCGCAAACTGTCAATCACCACAATCCTTCACGAGGACATGAAGATACAGAAAATTAGCGGGAAGGATACCGTCCAATTCGCCTGCTCATCGGATTTGAACAGTGAATGTCCTTTGGAAAACTTTCAGGAAACCGACAAACACACTCAGTTGCAAATCAATTTGGTCTTTACGAGGGACTCAAGTGAATCTCTTGTTTATGATGTCCTTCACCTGAATGTACTGCACAAGGGCTGCCTCATGATTCAGTTGCTATGATATTCCAGATATCGCAGTATATTTTCATAAAGGACAAGGTCGAAGAGTTTTTAGCAACCTTGTGAGTAGTTTCAGGAAACTGCTTTGGAAGAAAGCCCTGATCGGCAAACGTAGTTGTGAATGTGTTGGACATTTCCATACTTGACAGAACACTTGCTTCTGACGAAGAAGCAACTCTCAGTGAACCAGAGTTTCACTGCGGATTTTAATTCCTAGAGGAACGCCACTCCAAAACAATCAGTGACCAGAAACTTTCACCAGAGGCAGATCTGTACAGAAATCTAATATTGTTTTGCGAAGCCACAGTTGAGTGTGGATGTTACTCAGCTGGTGGCTGGTCTGTTTGTCGAGCTTGGAAGCTGGTTTGCGGACGTTTCATCACCACGCGAGCAGACCACCAATGCAGAAGCACCAGGAGTTGAATGCCAACTTCCAAACAGTTCTCGCATCCTGCCACTCGATGGGCGATTTTCAAAACATTCAGCCGCTCGGTCGGTTTATTGTCGATCTCAACATCGGAGCAGTATGCACTGCGTGGCCAACCACAGACGTAGTTTCCATGATACACGTTATTAGGTGGCTTCGGAATGTCTTTCCCACCATTTGAGCTACCGGGCTTTTGTTTGACAAAGAACCTCTGGCTGTTAAACAATCAGGTGCGGCCTGCAATAAATGAAAAGATGTACAGCGGTTGAAAATTGTTCAGCTGTAGCCATCTTTCAGTGCCCAACTGCCATGCCACCCGAAGGTTGCACGAGGGCTTGGATACTGCCAGGTTGCGTAAGCCTAGACAGGAGAAGTCGAAAGGCAGAGGTCGGGTTCGAACCACGGACCTTTCGGTCAGTAAATTCGCGCTCTAACCACTTGGGCCACCTCGCCCCTCGACGGTTGACATAGTCAGACCGATTGTCCAGAGTCGACTTCCTAGACGAACAATCGAAAGACTGCCAGCCCAACTATAAGCCGGGATACCTGCTTTCAAACCTACACATTGGCGGTAACCTCTGGATGAGAAGAAACCGAAAGTAAGACATTAACCTGAGACATATGCTCCAGAACGATTGTCATTTAGAAGCCTCAAACAACTCCACCAAAACCCCATCGGAATAGGGCTACACAAAGAAACGACCGGGATGCACCCCACAGGCGAATAAACGTGTATTCATCATACAAATTGTGATCATAATATAATCAAACATAAATAGGCAGAGATGAAAGACAGGGCTGCGCACTGGGAATAAAACCGTTGCTGTAGCTGCTCAAAGTCTCCGGCCATGTTTGAACCACCCAGCATCTATGGTTATTTGACTGACGACTGATGAAGATTAGTTGAGACTCCGGCACCCATCGAAGACGAGTCTAAGCTACTGCTTCCGGATGGATCCGTCGTGGAGAAACTGGACAGAGTCGATGACTGTGCGTACAGATTGGGGGATTCCCAGTCCAACAGAGCCGCAGTACACCGGGTCAAACTGAATTCCGCGTGTTGTCGCATCCACGGGTGAGAATGAATACCGGTAAGAGGAATGCGAAGTTCCGGGCGTTTTTGTAGCATCTAGGAAGGTGACCATGTAGGGGAGACAGTAAGGAATTGATCGGCTAGGAAGAATGGGAAAAGAACTTACAGATCATTAAAGTATGGGGTTCATTTGACCCACTTAGCCAGACCGAGGACAAAAATGGTGCGACATTTCTAAAACTTTACTCTCTTCGATTACAAGCACCTATAAATTGCCAGTATTTGATAGTATTGGAAAAGCAATTTTACGGGCGCTAAAAACGAGATACATTTTGCTTCCAGGAGGCTATGTAGTTCAATGAATCATTGTTGATCACACCTTCAAACTCAGTCGAGCGCTAAAACATCCCACAGTTATGGCGTTTCTTGACTTCAAGGATGAACTCTGCCATTGATTGTACGCCATAGTTCATGACTATTATAAGTTCTAGATTCCGTGCGACTGACTGATGAGGGAAACACCGGTGTACTGTGACAACACGTATCACACTAACTGACGGCACGGGTGACAGTGTATCGGCTCTTGCAATCAAGTGGCTTTCTGTGAGCAAATGAGTAGAAAAGGACGATCAATATTGTGGAGAAGGAAAGCTGCGAGTGTTCGCTTGGAGCTGGCCAGTATTTGATAGTATTGGAAAAGCAATTTTACGGGCGCTAAAAACGAGATACATTTTGGTTCCAGGAGGCTATGTAGTTCAATGAATCATTGTTGACCACACCTTCAAACTCAGTCGAGCGCTAAAACATCCCACAGTTATGGCGTTTCTTGACTTCAAGGATGAACTCTGCCATTGATTGTACGCCATAGTTCATGACTATTATAAGTTCTTTGTATTCACAAAATTACGGGGACGAGCCTCAAAGTATTTTTGAAGCGCATTGTTTTCCTCTTCAAAACTGAAGTCGTATTAGTAGGAAAGCTAAGCAGCGCCATGCCGTTCCTCAATACGCGTTTCGCAAGCACAGAGTGTAAAGTCATCCAACACCTAGTGAATCAAGCAGAGACATTAAGGGTTATGAAACATCACACGTATCCTGGAGGTCCCAGTAATGCTGATGGTAGCTCGACAGATGAAGTTAACAAACGACTTTCAACAACGAAGATGACATCTGATAATAAATCCGACCACATGTCCGTCTGACGAAAGAAATAGGGTCGCTTTACATTAAATGCACCCAAATTATAATAACAATCGTTCAGTTGTAACATTCATTCGGTATCTAGCTGCCATGCCACACGAAGGAGGCACGAGCGCTGGGATATTGCCAGGTTGCCCAAGCCTAGACAGAGGAAGTCGAGAGACAGACGTCGGGTTCGAACCACAGATCTTCCGGTCAATAAACTCGCGCTCTAAGCACTCAAGCCATCTCACTCTATAAAGCAGAGGCAGTGACGAATCCGAATGACAAGACTGTCTAACTCGAAGGTGTGCTTTAATCGCCGACACGTGAATTTACTCCAAAAAGTCTAAGGTTGAGAAGGAGAGTGAACAGCGATGGAGCCCCCTCTGAGGTTATTGTTAGGTGTTCGAGAGGAAGTAGGCCGAATATTTTATAATTTTCCGGAATTTTCCTGCGAAAAAGTTTATTGCTAGCATCGTTTACCCACTCTATAAGACTCTAGATGGATCAGTTAGATTGGTGGTCCTGAACCGATTTCTCACTTATTCCCGCCACAATCTCCTCCTGCTTGATAAAATTCATATGACCTAATAAATTCAATGTTTTCACCAAAGAAGGAATTCCAGCGAACTCAACGTAATTATACAACAGTAAGAATAAGTACTAATAATGACTGGACGTAACGCACCACTAAGCAAACTATGTCTAGACAATGTATATTGACATCTCGAATATCGCACCAACTGAAAAATAAGGCTGTCGGGTGCCCCATATTCGGTTGGAGACCATCATAAACGAGATATCCAGTCGGGACTCCCTTGAAAACTGAATTCATATGCAAACGACAGTAGTTGGCGAAGTAGCAGCATTGTTTCTGGTGTGAGATGGATTGCCCGACTGAGGCTCTTTCATGAGGAAGGCTGCCAGATGAAGTGAACGGGGCCGCTGCATTAGCTGCTTGCTAGTTATACTAAAGTTTAATAACCGATCGATTGGATGGCCATTTGAACACCCAATCAAAATTTACCGTTCTTCTGGCCCGATAGCATTTGTCCTCCCGGTGTACCATAAGTCGTTCAAGCCTTCAGCTGTAGCACCCTTCTGGTGCCCAACTGCCACGCTACCCGAAGGAAGCACGAGGGCTGGGATACTCCCAGGTTGCCCAAGCCTAGACAGGGGAAATCGAGAGGCAGAGGTCGGGTTCGAACCACGGACCTTCCGGTTAGTAAATTCGCGCTCTAAGCACTCAGGCCATCTCACTCTATAAATCAGAGGCATTGACGAGGCAAGCCATATATATATGGTGCATGCTGCACATCTGCGCGCATCGTCCAAACGGGCATGAGGACGGCCTCCACAAACGAGATTCGGAACTGCGCAGATGACCTCTATCGCCTCTACATTGTACAGGACGACGCCGTGGCACCGGAAGGCAGTTGAAAATCCGTCTATCGAGAGTTAAACTTGACTTTGAACCTCTGAGGTCGGATACCAATGGATAGGAGTCAGATGGCATTATAGCAAGGAGTGATCGTTGTTTACAGGTGCCGCCCCCTCCAGAAAACAGTTGCCGGAAAGCAATAGTAAAAAAGTTCGACTTTCCAACGTTAGACTTTTTGAATCGCAAGGCATCAGATCCAAGTCAAGGATGAGAAAATTCAGCTGAATTACAACTATCGTACAATTATTTCACTCAATTTAGAGCCAATTTGCTCCCATTTGTAACGCCGTTGGTTATACCATGTTCGTTTCATTTGGATTTCCTCTANTTTGGATTTCTCTATCTTTTTGGCACAAAATCAACTTCGTCCCCGTAAGAATGAGTAAACTCATAATTATTTCGTGAGTTGTGTGAAAGTCAAAAGCTGCAGCCAATCTGGACTGACGCACGAGAAAAACGTTGGATGGGAAGAGGAAGTTCACATATCAGGTGACCAGATTAACAGATGTCACGCGCTAGCCTGGAGCTATCAGACCACGCCACGTGATTCATCGATTCCTACTGATAGTAACAATGGCCATCGGACAAACAACACGACACACTAAACGGGAGCCAGGGACCCCATATTCGAGTGAAGCTATTGAGAGGGTCACGACTCCTGAGGTTGGACGAATGTAATATTTGAATAACAACCAGCTGTCTTGAGAAAAGAGTGACATAATGCCGCGAGAAAAAGTTTTGAAATCAATCTAATGAAGAAGTTAACACTGCAAACAGCTGTCGCTGGTCTATGCGTCCAGTGACCATGACAGACCTACAATAGGCTTATAAGTTAGGCTGGTGTCGTGCATAATCTTACTGCCCATACTCTTCAGTCTTACGAAGTTAATCGGAATGGTATACAGTCTCCTCTTGTTACACCCTCACCTTCCATGCGCGAAAGACTGTCAGATCAGTAGGTTCCCCATAAACCTTGCCAGGATTTGTTTTTGTCGAAATGACCTGGGTTTAGCGTAGGTGGAACTTTATTAGAAGCAAAATCCCAATTGATATCTGGCCAAAACAGCTCAAAATGTACATGACTGTGCAGTGACCAACAGACGTCAATATAGAGCGAATTCATTTTCCTGGTTTCACTTTATCGATCCGACCAGATATCCGGATTGCGTAGGCGAATCGCAACTTCCTCAGCTTTCGCCAGACACCAAGACGGAACGAACCGCAGAAGACATGTTCTTGGAGACAACAGTGAAAGCAGTTAGAGTTAATCAACAACCTCTATCAGCCGAGTGGACGGTGATGATGCTTTTGTCGATTAAAACAAGTTCATCCTTTTGTTCGCATACATGGCTGCACAACAGCTGATGAAAAGGTATTCTGTCAGCGTGAAATGGTGGTCCATCCTTGAAAAACAGGGACACTGGCTAAGTGGTTCCAAACTACGAACTGCGTGAACCTGCTGGAAAGATTAACCGCAGTGGATCTCTTTGAAACTAAATTCCTTTCTACCATGGCCATTAACTTTCTTCCAAGCCGCGATAGCAATCTTTTCAAAAACAATCCGTCCGGATAATCACCTTTACTAGATATATTTGCGAGCGACTGAAGTCCATAGACGGATTAGACTTGCTATGGCGTCAGCGAACAACTGTATCATTCTGTGATTTAATACAGCGGTCACCATCATCATCGACAGCATGACATTAGTGTTCAACACCGATGCTTCAAAGTGGTGAGGTTGTCGTTTAGTTGGCCAGTAAGTAAATGGTGTTTAAGGTGTTCAGACCGTATTGATATCTCCAGACACTAGTTGTATAAGCTGACTGTTGAAGTGTCCAGACACTAGTTGTATAAGCTGACTGTTGTTCGAGGGTTCCCCCGTGTGATGTTCTCTCTAAAGGGGGACTCGGGAACAATAAAAAACTGGGGGGAATGGTCTTCTGGCGCGAGAATTTACTTATAAAGAGTGAACCCTGGACAGCTGAGATAGCAGAAAGAAGTACAGTGGTGACAGACTTACCGAGCTGATCAAATCAACAGCGTCAGCATCAAATTCTCCAGGGAGTTGAGGTTCACAAGATAGAATCTGATTAGCCACGTCTTGCGGCGTCTCACCGACAAACGGGACTTGGCCCACCAGCATCTCATAGGTTAGCACACCAAGACTCCAAGTGTCCACACTGTTCTCGTAGCTGGACTCGGGATCGATTACTTCTGGAGCTAAATAGTCCAGTGTTCCAAAAGGCGCCGTGCGTCTACGGGAACGGATTACATGCTAAGAAAGTGAAAAGACGGGATCGAACCTGGAGGCCGGTCGATGGACAGCACTGCCAAAATCAGCAATTTTTGTCTCTCCTCGGGATCCTAAGAGAATATTGTCCGGCTTAAGGTCCCGATGAATAACGTCGTTCTGATGGCAGTAGGCAATGGCGCTGGACAATTGGTAAAGGTACTGCAAACGACAAACGGAAAATTATTGCACGGAAAGCAACAGACAAACGTAAGTCCTCATCACTATTTGCCCTGCAAAAACGGATGACTAGAATGGACGCAAATGATAAATCATGATGCCGCCAGAGTAACAGTAGCAGTAACAGTCTACGGACCTTACTCATCATCCGAATTGATTGTATGGCGGGGTGTATGGCTATTTCAGGATTGTCATGCAGAATTATGGTATCTTCGTCTTGACATTCCGAGGAAGATAGTCCGGCTGGAAGTCGAAGACGACTGGATATGAAGGTGTATTGAGGATGTGAACGTAACGCTATGGGTTTCACGCCAGTTAATGAATACGCTCGGGAGCATACAAACTTCACATCAATTCACCTTTAAAATGTCTACGAAAAACCAAGATGCTTCGCAGATCATGTTCAGAATGTCGTCGAGATATCTGGCGAAAAAATCTGCGTTGTCCGAATGATGTAAACGCATAGAACTAATATGTCCGGCCCTAATTTTTCAAATTTTAGCTGGAGTTCCAGTTAAAAAAGCACGATCAGGACGTAATTGAATCGTGCTTTCGCGGAACGGTGCTTTGTTCGACTGTGGAGAAGGGGAAATCTATTTTGGCGGAGGAAATTTGATGGGTTCGCATTGAGAGTATGCGAGATGGCCCAAGTGGTCGGAGCGCGAATTTACTAACCGGAAGGTCCGTGGTTCGAACCCGACCTCTGCCTCTCGACTTCCTCTGTCAAGGCTTGCGCAATCTAGCAGTATCCCAGCTCTCGTGCAACCATCGGGTGGCATGGCAGTTAGGCACCGAAAGATGCTACAGCTGAACGATACGGACGACAACTAAGTAAGGCGAGTTAGATGTCCAAAACGACTCCCACCTGCAGAAAGTTCTACACACCCTCCTAACAGCCCCCATAGTCGAGGTGAGCCTTTTCTGCATGATCTTGGTACACCGTGATGAAATAAAAGCCATTCAGCAGTAGCATTCTCACAGCTATCATGAAACCCGGAAAAAGCACATAAGCTTAATCACTGGCAGGCCCGTCAAGTCTAGACGAGACCTGTCGAAAGGAGATGAATAGGCTGGGAATGTGGACATATCACCCAGCCGTTATGTTATCAGTTGAACTACCTCAGGCTACGGGATACATAGTAGTTCCAAACAATATGCGATCGCCCCTATTGAGGGAAATAATGTCAGTTGAACTAAACGCTCGTGCTTTAAAATAAAAATATGCCAAAAGAACGAAACAATAAGTGTCCTATATGGGGCTTGCCTTCCAAATATGATATCTTTCGATTGCTATAAAAAGTAATAACATCTTTTGACCGGGGTAGGGCGAGAATCGACTGCGTCTCATCTACAAAACCATCGACCCTTAAGGGAATGTGCTTGCAGAAGACTATCACATCGCATGTTTAAAGAGGTGAATATGTGATGTTTGTCAACTCCTCCCTTGGTGTAGTATCTCACGATGAGCGGTAAATAACGTTGAGAAATACAATTATGGGAGTCACCAGCCGAAGAGAAGCTCATGAACTACACAGTTATTCACTTACAAGGTCAGTCTGTTTATCAAGCTGCAATGGTGGCGCCAACCGTCTGCTTTAGCAAATAATAGGAAGTCGAAAGATACGATGGCAAGGAAACAGGGAGTAATGCACCCTAGTATAGTGGGACCGTCAAATGATCCTATTTCAGTCCACCAGCCACACACGTATGATCGGTAGCTTGGCTTCCTCAGGTGAATTGGCACCCAACCCATTCCCACCTGGGTAGCCCCGAAAGTGTGCCAAGTGGAATATACACAGGTCCTTTGGGAACCAATGACATCCTCCATAGTCCTTATCCTGCCTTCAAATGTTGCCCGATTAGCCATTGCTATTTCTTTAGTGCGCTATCATGCGCGACACTTAATTATGGTAAGCTTATGTTATTGTCGCATCAAACCAATAGATTGTTTCCTAGTAGACCACCGGGTTCTGAACACAGGTCAACCTGTGACCAACATTTCGACGACCGACATTCCCGGTGGTCTGTGACTAGCGTGGTATTTATAATAGAAATGTAATGTAATGTAACGTAATGTAATAATAGTAATGTGGATCTATTGCATAGATGTCACAATACAAATCAAACCTTTGTGGGTTTTTTTTAATACGAATACAACACAGGACAGAGATGTTCCCGAGGCACTGTGCCATTAATTGCTCGCAAAAGCTCCGCATCTCCCAAATACTTGTCTGGATCAGGTGGAATCATTAATCACACAAACTGCACTACAGATCTCATGCAGCATGACTAAATATTATACCACTGAGGCACGATTCGACGGCGGCTCTACCGAACCCAAACTCTGTAGCAGAACCTTTGTCATGACTAGCTAGACTTTGTGTTGCTGTTAGGTTGCCAAAAAGGAGCGAAAGGCCTCAGGGTATCCGCGGGTGGGGTGTGGAGATAGACATAGGCTCTGTTATGTACGATGTATTCCCGAAACTCTAGTGACACTGGTCCTACTAGGCTGAACGATCGAAAGATAGCTCCATAACCTAGCTTCCAACTTCCTGATTGTCTAACTTAGGGGATGGGTTACGCCCTGAATCCCAACCAGAAAGGACAAAAACATGAATCAAACCAAGTAGGCTGGGCGGATGGGATTATGCTCGACATCCAATAGCCACTGTGACGACGTAAATGTACTGCTTCCCTGAAGGTTACACTTGGGTGTGTGAAGAAAGTAGAATTAATCACGAAACACAGAACATATCACCTGTATCATCAACATGCTTGACAGCAAAAGGACACTCGTATCAAATTCTCACGGAACTCCATGAACATGAACATTCCTATAACCACGGATTTGTTAATTCCACGGGGCTTGTAATTGATGTGCCTTCGGAGCGCATACTGTGGCGAACATCAAAATACCATCTCGATTCCTAAAGTTCCATTTTTATCTGTCCGGTATTCTCGACCAGTCATGTAGTTTTAGGAACATCAGTATGGCAATGGAATCCTCTCCAGCCTCAGGAGTGACCAAGTGTATATCACTACTCAAGCAGAATCGTGCGCCTCTTCCTGACGACCTTCCAGCTGCTTTTTTTGAGGATGACGATGAAGTCCTGAGTCAATACCTATCTAGGTTATTTGCCTCTATCTGAAAAAAGGGACTATTCCAGACAACCCGGAAGAGCCGAGAATAGCGTCCATTTCCAAAATACGTACTCGCGATGAATATGAAAACCACAGAGGTATCAGCTTTATTCCCGTTTTAAGGTTTCTGGCACCATCCATGCTTCAACATATGGCGGTGTGCGAACCCTTGACCCATGAGCATCAAGCGGTATTTCAACCAAGTATAGGTTGTACCGACGACTGTCAGGCTTTGTAGCAATGCCATATGTGCAAACGATCCACAATCCTGATACTCCTTGACTTCAAGGGTGCGTTCTAGTCTGCCGATCGGTCAGTGCTGTTAACTACACTTCCTCAACGGGGTGTTCCCCAAATGCTTGTGGACATAATGCGATCCCTATATTTACATATTTCTGGGTGTGTGCGAGTGTACGATGAGCTATACGAAAGATTTTCTACAAAAAATGGTGTCTGACAAGGATTTCCATTTTATCCGTTCTTGCTCAACTTCGGCGGTAATGAAACAGAGACGAACACTGGGAGATCTTCGAAACCCCGGTGTTCTAATCACTGCTGGTGAGGACTTGTCGACCTAAAGTACGCAGACAACATCGCCCACATCTCTGAGGACGAAGGTGCAGCACAAGCTCTGTTGAAGAAACTAACCACCACCATACCATACCTTCAAAGTACAAAGTCACGCTTCATAAAATGCAGTCTCTGAGTATACCCCCTTACAATTCAAGGAGAACTCCTAGAGGTTGTGGGGAATTTTACATGCCTTGGTATAGCTTTGACAGAAGTGTCTGATAAAATCAGTGCACGAACCTCAAAGGCTCACTAATTCGCGTCACTTGCAGCGTCAAAATATATATCACTGGGTCTCAAGGGTCGTGTGTACCAGGCAACAGTGAGGGTTGTATTGTGGTGGGGTCACAGATGACGTAAGGCGTCTTCGGGCTTCCGGTCACCGATGCCCGAGAAGCGCTGCTGGCGTCGGATAGCTTCAACGGATGCATAACAAAGTAATTAAAAAACGAGTATTTGGTTGTGTAGCGGATACTTCGGTCGCGGAAAACATCCAGTATAATCAGCTTTGCAATAACCACAGAAACATTGCCTGCCGAGACGAGTTTTCTTGTCTCCTTCAGAATGACGCAAACCGTGACATCTAAAACGGATGTCCAGGCTGAGTGGTGTGAATAAGATTAGGAAGAGTTTAGGAGTGTTGGTGCGGCACACCTTGCAGGATGAGGTCCTCCAGACCCCCCACCTCCGCGCTCAGCTGGAGGAATTGCGAGAAACGGTGCCTGAGCGATAGCAGTAGCATTCCTGTTGTCAGTTTATTTCCAAATTCTGATCGGGTGCTTCATTTTGCTGTTCCTGATGGTGATGCTTTCCAGTGCAGTCTGCGATCGAAATTGACCGCTCCAGCTTTCTTTGTCACATGGTTTCTGTATTTCGCTCCTCTACCATAGCCGAGTCACGGAGCTAAAGCACAGAACAAGGAGTCAAAATTCTGTGCCTATTAGGTAGACGTCGTATTGGCCGTCAATATCCACCGTCAGTAACATCAGATAAAAAACACGGTCGTTTATGGTATCAGCTTCTGGTGCACAGTGAAGTAACAAAACCAGAAGTGAGATAACGTCAGGTTGCTTGATAACCACAATCGAAGGCCATTACTGGGTTCGAACCCTGAGCCGTATTGGGCTGATGAGCTACCACTGATTCCCAAAATTTGTTAGACGGATGATATATATTACGGAGGACCCTCTATGGCACCCCTCGCTTATATCTGATTCGTGGTATTGGAGGAGAGAACTGAGGCGTCAAGCAGATGAGGGACAAACATACACTGCGGATATCTGGGCTATTAGCATTCTGAATATGGCGCGGGATAGTTCAGTGGTTAAAGCGAGAATTTACTGACTGGAAGATTCGTGGTTCTGATCCGACTTCTGCCTCTGGATTTCCCTGTCTAGACTTGGGCAACCTGACAGTATCCCAGTCCTCGGGCTTCTTCCGGGTGGCATGGCAGTAAGGCACCGAAAGGGTGTTCTGAGGATAATCTTTTCCTTATTGTTCTCAATCTGAGACACAGGCGCTCTAATGTTTTATTCTTCTTATGGGCTTCCTGATGTCAACCGATGCCGACGATTCCGATTTCACGGAATACCCGCAAAACAATGATCTCCACAGAATCCTTCAAGCACACTGATGATTGTCTTGGAAGTGAAAGGAGTCATCACGCTGAAAGCTTTGCGGAAAGTCACAGAGACCGTGCAGTCCATTGTCACTTATCAAAGGCCTAACTTTTACACTTTCTACGTTGATGAACGGAGGCGCTGGTCGGCGGGTGCGTTTTTCCGTAAAATATTGCACTCCTAGGTTTCATTCGTGGAAAACGCAGTTCAGAGCAAGAAGTACCATGTGGCACCACCACTGATAGAAAAGTTGGAAAGGAATCAGCATGTGACTGAGTAAAGCGATATCGCTCAAACAAACATCACTATAAATACCAATTGCAGTGTTGACCACATATTCATAAATGCCGCAGCCAGGTGGCCCTTCGGGGATGGTGTTAAGGAAGATGTAAGTAAAGAAGTTGTGGCCTCCCTGCGTACGCTCACAAGAGCAAGGCATTGCTCGACTACAAGTGGATAGACCGGTCCACTGCAGAAAGACGGAGCAAGTTAACCATATTCTTATTCTGGGCCAAGTCACAACAAACCGGAAATGAAATGTCCCTTCTGTTTTTGGGATGCTGGTGGCTGCGCGATTCTGTGGAATACATACCCAAATGACTAGTTTAAATGATTGACCTCCTGCCCTCGCGCGATCATCCTGGTGAGTCCAAACTAAATGGAGGAAAGCCCTGGGCTCGAGTTTCGCTCTTATTAGAGCTCATCAGCAGTGCATATCCAATAGCCGTGTTGGGTTTTAAACTCCGTAAACCTGACATGTGGGGCGATATTCATCAAAGGATGCACTAGACTGCACCCTTGACCATGCAGGTGCTCTGCCCGTAAAATTGAAGGCAGCCACACCTTTGTAATGTACTACTCATAAGGTTGCTGAAAATCCATCGACCTTTACATTACAAAGATATACATGTATCGCGATATTTCAAATGTCGTAGCGACTGAAACATGAGGCGGCCTGGTGCAGCACATTCAGTTGCCTGAGAACATCATAAACAAGAGATTCAGCTGGGTTCCAGGTGAGTCTCTCGAAAGAACCAAGTTGGTTGCCAAATGAGTGTATATTCGCAGTCAGTCACAAGTCTATTAGAATGGTAACCGCAGACAACTGGGGCGTCGACAACTAAATGAAAGAAAAGCACTGCCACGAAGGAACCTGACCTTACCGTGGCGTGGCGGTTTGTGCAACTCGGCGACCGATTGAGCTATACTAAGGGTGTCTGCGCGACACTCACAGTCTCCCATAACAAGTTGCTCAATGGGTAGAGATCTGAAGAACAGTCTCATGGCCCTCCAGGTTAAGGGTTGGAACATGTGTGGCGAAGTGTTCCGTAAATCGGATAATGTACTTGCATTTCCAGCCCAACACCGCCGGCTTGCGGCTAGGCTTTTGAGCCAAAGGGTTTGGTTGAGGACCCTGATCGCCCCCCTGTCTGGCAGTCCTGGCAGTATCCCAGCCCTCGTACAGCCATGACATTTACAAATGACAATACTGTGCGGACATCTTGTGACCGTCATGCGGATTGGCCAAGAACCGCTGTATCACTTGATGAAATTTGTTAAGGTTTTTACAAAATTCCAACCGTCTTAATGTTACGGTTTTCGCGAACGTGACCTACCAAGAGAAAATCACATTTGGCGAAATCTTTCCCGATTGTGGTCATAATTACATGTGAGTTACGAATGTGTTAGATTCATAAAATTGAAAGTGGTCAGTGGAATCAAGTCTGGGAAAATGGAGGTTTCAGTATGGCGAAACCATCAGTGAATAAAAGTTGAAAAACAGGACAGGCTGAGATGAGCATAAACGTCTTATAATGGCAAAACATTGACTAGGGCTCCAACTGCAGAACTGAAAGAGACAATTTAACCATTTTTGCTAGACTAGGTTAAATTCAAATAGGCAGCAAAACCATGGGCATCTTTTGACCTACCGTGGCTGTACGGGTGTTGTTAAAGTGGTGAAATCTGGCCAGTTCTTTGGACAGCTCACCCTTCGGTACATACTCCAGAATCAAGTATATCCGCTTGGCATCATAAAAGTAACTGTACAGCTGAACCAAACCAGGATGCCTACACAGCTTCTGACTAAAAAACAAATTTGTCTACCTCAGATGCGACTGGATCTCGATCTCCCTCTGAATTTGTTGCATAGCTTCTTGGGAAACGATTTCGCTTTTCACCATCATCTTCGGCCTAATCAAGCTAAAACACATAATACCTTGAGTGCAACCACAAAGCGGCTTTCTTTTTCACGTGCAAGGTACACAGATCCGAAACAACCCTCACCGAGCTTCTTTCCGATATCAAGATCCTTCAAAGACCATTTACGGCAACTGCGTCTGAACCACGCAGTTCCATATGACGTGCATTGATTACCTTGGAAGGGTGCATGACCTGTCCCTAGACACCCCCGAAGGGTGGCGGTTCATTCTCACGGAGTCATCGACTACAGAATGCCCGTTCTGGGAGAATTCAGACATTCGGATAAGACGTCCGGTTTTCGAGAAACCTCCAGGAAAGGAATTTTGAAAAATCGCCAAGGATGTTTCATTTACTATTCCGCGGCAAAGCAAGCAAGTTAGATCGTTGCCCCAAATTCAACTACGGCTGATCGCATGGAAGGATGGCTGTAAGCGACAAAAATCGTCGACGTTCTTACACCCTTCAGGTTCAGCAATCTAGATGCCTGAAGATTCAGTTTGCCGCGCAATTTGAATTTTTCCCTCGGTTAGGATTCACGGATTCATTGGTTGATACACAGGATCGACGCTTTTGACCAAGTATCCCGGGTCGCTTTTGTTCTTGTCAGTCAGTGGCTGTCGTTCACCTGAAAGGCACAAGTGAAAAAAGGTGTAGCACTGCTCTTTATGTTCTCAGCGCGGGGCAGTATGTTTGCCAGCGCGAGGATTCGCATAAATAAATGTCTAATATTGCTTTAAAGTGGGCTCTAGAAGGAGTGTGGACGACCGTCAGAGGAAGTCACGAGATAAAGTGGAGGTGGAGACGCGATATTTCGAATGGTGAGAACATGGCAAGTTTAGTCTCAAAAATATGGTGTAACCTGAGAACAAGCAGATTCACTGGTTGCGCTGTTGTAGGAAAGTTAAGTGCTGGGGGTTAGGTGGATGAGGACGCGAACGTGGTCGGATTCGAACGAGAAGTTTAACAGGTTGGACTGAATGTCGTGGTGGTGGTTGGAGTCAATGAATCGCATAGGCAAGTGCGCTCGTTTTGGAGGAGGAATGGAACATTTGCGGGTGTGCTATAAGCTGTCAGCTAACCAGGTCGTCCAAAACGGGTACTTCCGAAGTTCAAAGCTTGGGAAAATGATGGGATGGGGGGAGATTCGAAAAACAAGGTGAATTTTTGGGGATATAAAATGGGATAATATGCATTGATAAACACAACGTAAAAACTTGACGTCTGCTGTAATTAGGGTGATGACAAGTGATTATGGAGTAGGAAATAGATAAATTTGTACTTAGGAGGCTAGCGATTAAGGGATGAGTTTGCTAACATGCGATATTATATTACAAGGGATCTAGTAAAAGCTGATAAAAGCGCGTAGAGGTGTGGTATGGGAATCAGCTGCATAAAGGCTGGTCGGAGTGGACTTCTAAGATCTGGTGTATATTACACGAGTTGAGTTATACCAGGAGAGAATGTGTGCAAGAGAAATAGTCACTTGTCCCCGAAGCACTGCTATCAGCTCTAATCTGTAGATGGTGCATAGCAAGTATCTA